ACATGGATCTCAAATCTCAATCATGCAATTAAAGCTCAACTTTAAGTAGAATGCAACAAGACACCTTACCCCAAACTTAAACCGCACATTGTCCTTAATGTGCGATGAGAATAATGGAAAAGATGGAAAGAGTATACCGTGGTGGCAAAAGCATGAAGCACGGTAGTGATCCACTTTGAAAAACGTCTCCCCCAAACTTGGAATCAACAATCTACTTGAATAACCACACTAGCAAACTCACATCAAATATCAAATGGGATAAGAATAATCAAGCCTTCTATGGCAATATATCACAAGATGAAAAAGAGATATGAGATCAAGCCCTAGCCAAAGTATGAAAGTTTGCATGACTACACATAAGGGCACAATGGTGACACAAATTTTTGTATTTTTCATTTTATGAAAGCATGTATATACAAAATGTAAGAAAAACAAAGAATAAATGCATGAACAAAATAAAAGTAAAAGAAAAATAAAGAAGGTAAAATGTAATGAAAGAATATATACAATGCAACAAATGAAAAATAATATGTACAATACAAGTATATACAAAATTTTCTTACTTTTTTTTTTCAATTTTTTTTTTTTTATTTTTTTTTTATTTTTTTTTTTTTTGTGATATAACAAGTATGTATACACACACAAAAATAAAACAAATAAACATCCAAGAAATGAAAATGCAAGAAAATAAAGAATGCAAAGAATAATGATTTTTTTTTTTTTTTTGAAAAAAAAAATAGAAAAAGGAAAAAGTCAAAGGGGCAAAGTTATGATCGATCTATGGTCGCATGATGGGATAGAAAGTATGAAATTTGCAGTGCTTTTGAAAAATTTTCTAAGTGTGGAATCTCGATCAATCCAATAATGAAGTTGGATCGATCGAAGAACTTTAGATTGATTTAGGAATGTTTTCGATCGATTTGACAGAGAGCTGAAATATGCAGGTTGATGCAGGCTCAAAATTTTTCTAAGTGTTGAAACTACAGATCGATCGAACTTGATGTTTGGATCGATCGAATGTCTTCTGATCGATCTAACTGAGATCTGAAGATTTTCTTGGATCGATGAGACAGAGAGTGATTTGGATGCAGGTTTGCTGCAGGAATGAAGTTGATTGATCGGACTCTCATTTGAGATCGATCGAACTTATGCAAAATGCTCAATTTTCAACATGAAAGTGCAGAAAACCCTATGCTAAGCCCTAATGATGGTAACAAAAATAGAGATTAAAAAATAGATAGAAGAATGTACACAAAAACGAAAAATAAAAATAAATAATAAAAAGAAATGGGAGAGGAATAGAGTTTTGAAACTCTACGAATACTAGTATTTAACGTCTCTAGCAAAACGTTGGGCCAACTCACTAATCAAAAGAATCAAAAATCGGATATGAAACATCCTTATTGATCCTCTTTTAACTTTTCTCATTTAATGTCCCACTTACAATAATGAAATCATCCTCTAAAAGAATGACTTGAAAAGAAATGAAAGAGATGATATTGTTCCTTTCATCCACGGTTTTGAAAACAAAATCAATCATGGTTAGCCTTGCCTCAATTTTGTGCTCTTAAAGTGTATTCAAAGAATCACTTCCTTTGTGAATTGGCAAGTCAATGTCTTTCAAAGACTCATTTGAAATATCAAGGAACACCATCTCTTCATCCTTTTTCTCTCCCTCAAAAATCATCATCTTCATACCTTCCAAGTTAGCTAAGGATTCCATTAGAGAGTTTATTTCATTTTTGGAGCTTTCAAGGTCAACACCATAATTTTTATACATTTCAAAAAGGTATGTCTCAAGAGGATCATTGAAGATAATAGAAGGAAGGCCCTCTTCTACAAGTTCCTCCTCCTTCTCTCCTACCTCAAGTGTGGTCAACATTTCCTCATTCTCTAAAGTAGCAATGTCCGAGATAAAATCATAATCAAAACAAGGAAAGTCCTCATTAATCATGTTATGCTCTATTGGATTAGCCACTAACTCACTTGTCACTTCCTCCTCTATACAAGATAGAGTGCTAGGCATTAGCTCACTTCTTTCATTTTTCTCTTCACTCTCATCATCCTCATCTATATACATTGAAGTTCTTGCCATTTTTTCATTTGCCTTTTCCTCCTCCTCTCGACGAAAAAAAGAGTACTTGCAATTTGCTCAACTTGAGCTTCAAGATTGGCTAAAGTTTGAGAATGAGAATTTAATAAGTGGAGTTTGTGAAATATGCACATCAAGTAAAGCAAACACTTTTTCTTCAAATCCGGGTGAATACCTAGAAGGTGGTGGGGTTGGTTCATCATAAAATAGTGGGGGAGGGTAATAGTCATAAGAATGATTAAATGAGTGATCAAGTCCATAATAAGGTGATGCGTGAAATGAATTGGACTCAATTTCATAAGGATTAATATATGATGGAGGAGTATAAGGTGAAGGGATATAATTTTCCCCCAAACTTGGATCAAACAATTCCTCCATTCACAATTAAAACCCAAATGCAACAAATAATGGCCTCAACAAGGGCCTATACTTGGACAAAGATAAAGCAATATAATAAGCCTCAACAAGGGCTATCACAAGCATGCAAAGAAGTGAAACAATTAAAATACAAGAGTTCCAAGAATTGCTCACAACGGTCCTTAAGCAACTTCAAATTTTAATGTTAGCTTTAAGCTCCAATGATTGCTTCTAGTTCCAAAGTTTGCCTTTCTTGTAGTCAAGTACCTAATTAAACAAATAATAATGAGAACAAGAGAAAAGAATATACAATGAAAAATAAAATAAAAATAGAAACAATCAAATGAACACTATTGTCTAGTTTAATTCCAGCAAAACCGTTAATCCCCGGCAACGGCGCCAAAATTTAACGATTAAACCCGCTTGATACACGCCAAATTGATGTAATGAATGTGTGGTTCAAGAAAAGCCTTTTGGGTCAAGTTTAAATTTATAAAAACCACTACCAACACTACTACTAAAGTAGCAAGAGTGAGTAGGGATCGTCCCAAGGGATTATACGTGTTGGAATTTAACTTTAACTCTAGCGTATCACAAGATTGCAAAAGATAGAGATTGGTTGATTAAACTGGAAAACAATTAATTAAAATGAAAGTGAAATAAAACTAATTAGAGATAGGGATTTAAGAAATATGAAGAGAGGACTTAGGGGGTTGGAATCACCACTAAGCTCGTGTAATTAACCATTTGCTTTCCATTAATGGGGAATACATTGTTGTGAACAAAATGCGACTACCAATTGCAATATTAAGCATGGACCATCTAATTTATGTATGAATTGTCTACCTAAACTAAGTCTAGCACAACCCATCAATTTTAAGCATGACCCATCTAAGTAGCAACAATTGTAGCACACATCAATCTAGAGAATCATGGAATTTGCAATAATAAGCCATGGAATATCTAAGCAAGCATAGATTGTCTACCTACCTACAAGCATGAATTAAATTGTAGAACAACCCATCAAGAATAAGTATAAACCATCAAATTAATTGACAAACCCATTCAATGAAAACCCATACTTAGCCATCATTAGATTTTTAATCAACCACACATAGACATGTAATTAATATAAAAAAAATTAGTATAGAGATTAATTCCCAAATAATCACACATAAGACAACATGTAATCAAATAGAGAATCAATAGAAAAAATTAATCCATATAAATCATGTAAGAAATAATTCCCAATTTAATCACACATAGACATATAAATAAACTAGAGAATTAATATAAAGAATTAAACCATAGAAATTATAGAAATATACCAAGATTCATGAAATTTATAAGGCTAGAACACTAATCACAACAATATATATAAATCCCCAAAAATAGAAATACAAGGGTTTAGACTACACAAGACTTAGGGCTCATCCAAGCCCTAAGTGTAGATCTAGCCAATCATGGAGGAGGTAGATGTGGTCATGAAATCAAGTTCCAAATATGGCTCCATCTTCTTCTTCCTCTTCTTCTTCTTCTTCTTTTAAGCTCTAGTGATGGAGAGAGAGTGTGGTCTAGAGATGGATCTTGAGATGTGCCTCCACTTCCCTCTTTTCTTCTAACCTTAATCTCTAACTTTGCTAGAGAGAGAAATATAAATTACAATGTAAAAATAAAAAGATAAAAAGCTCATTTACAAATGGGTCTCTTCCCTTTATATAGAAGGTCCTTTCTTAGTCACTAAGTCAAGAATATAGCTCAAAAAATATCTAATCCCGTACTATGTGACAGGTGGACTTTTGGGCGCGCACGGAATAAGACAGCTCGCTGCCAACAATGTTCGATCGATTAGAGAAAAAGTTAGATCGATCTGAGAAAAAGTTGGATCGATCCAATTTGGTAGTTTTTCAGCATTAGCCTCCTTTTGTTCCAAATCAGCCTATTTTTTGCTCCGGATCATCACTAAGACTTAGTTTGACTCCAAAAAGGCCTTAAGAAACCATTTTTAGCCCATTTTAACATTATTGACCTGAAATAGACAAAAACACAAATAAGTACTAAAACGGGTAAATAAGATAGATAAAGGTCTTAGAACACTCAAGTTTAAGGGGTTTAAAAGTGTACTTTTCAGTGCTCATCAGGGAGCCATTTCAGTTGACCGAAATGGTGCATCGGTCGACCGAACCAAGTAAGTGTTCTCAGTATCTTCCACTTCGGTCGACCGAAATGGGGTTCGGTCAACCGAACTGTTTTCAACTCTCGGGATCTCACCTTTCGGTCGACCGAAGGGTTATTTCGGTCGACCGGTTCCTATTAGGTCTGCTTTGGCCGACCGAAGCTTCACTTCGGTCGACCGAAGTGCCCTGTTTGATCCACATTGCTTTTCCCTCTTTGGTATTCCACTTCTAACCTTTGGGATTCACTTTGAAACCATGTGACAACTTAGGGATGATCCTAAGGGTGATGTTTTGACACTTGATCGAGTGTGGAGTGACCTTAATAACCCGAATTGTTCCAAGAAATAAGATTGAAACAAGACTAGGAAGCCAACCTATGAGTAGAATAAGAGACTTAGAATTGTGTCCATACAAAGCATGGTATATTTGTGTTATGATGGCTCCACTTAGCCCTACAAAACCCTTCAAGAGGCCTAAAACAATTCCCCGGCAATCCGGGAAGTTCTTAACGCAGGTAATGAGACAGCCTGTGTTAGCAAAAGCTTGCGAATCCGCGCCAATCCATATGTACAAGCACATCTGCCATACGTGAGGTTTGGCTATGTGTCCGGTAACGGAGAGCCATATCATGAAGTAGCCGGAAAAGTTCATGACTGCGCCGATCAAGAGAACCATCCATGGTGGTGCGACTTCGCTTATTAGTCCTGATATGATTCCGAGGTTGAAACCTAAGTCCTTGAAGAAGCTGACCAAATTGAGAGTTGTTTGATCATAACCTAAGGATGATTTGACGTCGCCGGAGTAGAGGCCAAACATGAAGGTGGCGCCGTTAACTTACTCAAGTTACCTGAAGGGGGGATTTTTATTTTTATTTTTTCCTAAATTAAAGTTAAAATGTAACTTTGGAACATTTAGCTTCTCGAAAGGAAAATAGTTCCACCCAATGGATGGGAATACCCTTTTGGATAAAAAAATTTAAAAAAATGTAGAGACTACTATAAGTCTATAGTCTATAATGGAGATTAACATTTGAATATTATCTTGTTTTATGGTATTATAGAAGAAGAAAAGGGCAAAAGGCTAACTTGAGCAAGGAGATGATCGAGCAGTGGCAGACAAAGAGATGAAGATATGATGAGAGAGGGAGGCTATGGTGTGGTGGTGAGACAGAGTGGGTTGTCCACAAAATAAAGAGTTTGTGGAGTCAGCGCATGCTCGACACCGACACACAAACACACACACGGCCATGAACACTAATGTATGTTTGTCTTTTGAAAACAAAAATTATAAGACGTTTTAGATTTTAATAATACACATACGTGCAATTCATAATTTCATATCTAATCTATTAAACAACCCATTTCAGTATCCTAGTATCTTTACATTTTGGTTTTGACCGACTCTAACTTACTTATTGTTTAATCCACATATGGAAACAAGATTGATTTTATCCCCTCTAATGCTTAAAATTTGCATTTTGTTTTTTAGAATAATGCTTGGATCCTCCATCCTGATGTAGTCTTATGAAAACTTAACACTTGTTCAAAAAATATAAAATGGATCATACCGGATTAAATTGGTTACCCGGGTAGAATCCATCAGACAAACCCATTTTCTCTCTCCTTCAATTATTCCTTCTCTTCTTTGCTACCAAACATAATGGTTAGCCGCTGCCATAACCACCAGCAACGATGACCTCTTGACGGAGATTCTTGTTCACATGCTCCTTATGTCTCCGATCCGGTTCAAGTCTATGTCCAGACACTGGTTCTCTCTCATCTCCGCTTCCCGTTTCTCTCTCCTCCACCCTCTGGCCTCTTTCTCCGGGAAAACCCCTTTGAGTCAAATTCGAGTTTGTTTCGTTCAGCAACAACAATCTCTCGAAATCCCCCTTCAGATCTCTCAATTTCGCTTCAGGTATCAAAATGTTACAGTCTTGCAATGGCTTGGTGTTGGGGTCACTGCAATTATTGTTTACGTATTAGTACTTTTGCTATAGTTGGAGCTATTGGCACCTGCAATTTCAGGTTTGGTATTGGCGACGTCAAACAACGACGAGCATGAATGACTGCGATTTTCCGGTGGCGATGCGTGATGAAGGAAATACTTTGACGGTCGGTGACACAATGATGTGTTGGGTTTCAATTAGGGCTCGTCTGGATTGACGGATTTAGAGGGATTTGGAGAGAAAATAAAGGGAAGGATAGGGATAGGTGTGTTTGGATAGAGGGAATAAAAGAGAAAAGAAAAGATTGGGAAGGATTTGGAGGGATAGCCTATCCCTCCAAATCCTTCAAAAACAGTAAAACCAAATCCCTCCAAAATTGACAAGATTTAGAGGGATTTGGAGAGAAATAGAGTAAATTACACAAGGGGCAAGAGAGTTGAGAGAGCCGGCTGGAGCTTTGATTTTTACAGTTGCACAGAGAGAGAGAGAGGGAGGCTATTGGGGAGGCTGATATATATACATATATATAAGAGGGAGGCTTCTTCACGAGATGGAGGCTATTGGGGAGGCTAAAATATATACATATATATGTGTGTGTGTGTGTGTGTGTGTGTGTGTGTGTGTGTGTGTGTGTGTGTGTGTGTAATTTGCAGTTGCAGAGAGAGAGAGAGGCCTGTTGTTGAATTCTGGCCAACTCAGTGGGTGACATGCGACTCATTTGTTCTTGAGCGAGTTTGATCAACTCAGGATCCATCGCACAGTTGTAAAATTCTTGAACTCCTTCACCGGAGATAAAAACTGAGAATTGAACCAATGTAACAAAAGTTGATTCGAACTTCGATTCAAAGTGGAGAATTAAAACAAAACCCATACGAGAATAGAAAAATAGAGATATATATATATATATCTTCTCTCTTGCTTATCTTGCTTGTTTGTTCTGTTTAAATCATTCTGTTTATTGATTCTCATATTGTTGTACTCTTACTCCTTCCTGTAAGTCCAGATCCAAACAATAAGACCCGAGCCAAACAGTAAGACCCAAAAGAGGCCTGAGCAGGACGGCATGAGCGGATGAGTGCGTGGATAGGAATTAGATACTACTTTGAGAGAGTCATAACAATAGTATGTTTTATCTAGTCAACCAACCACAGATAGTTTGAGATAAGTAACCATGAATAGGTTATTCAAGTCTTCCTCTTCAATGAGTTCTAGATCCAGAACCAGCCTACCTCCTATTCCAAACATAATAAATGAAGAAGAATACCAAGTTAAAGATATTAGCTTAGATTTTAGTGATTGGAGTATTCCTCGTATTCCAACCCGAGAAATTTACAAAACTAGTTTCTTCAAGTCAACTTTCCTTAGTGACTACACAGTTAAAACAGTAGAACAAATCTACTCCTTATCCAGAGAACATGAAAAATGCCAGTTACTCACTAGTAAAGCCATTAAAAAACAAAAAAATCGAGGATCCAATTTCATTCACATAGGATTGGTCCAAGTGGCCATTAATCCATTTGGTGGTGCTGGTCTCAATGCCTCAATACTCTTAACTCTTCGTGATGCCAGATTCCTAGAATATGATGATAGTCTCCTAGGAATAGTTGAAACCAGTCTCTGTAATGGTCCAGTTCATTTTAATTGCTACCCTGATCTAACCCTCAGTCTCACTGATCCTCATCTATTAAAAGCATTAACCTTTAATATTAAAACTTCTGGTTACAAAATGCTTCCTGGTTCACAACCTCTGGGTCTTATCTATCGAATTTATTACAAGACAAGAGGAACAAATCTCAACATTAAGGCCATAAAAAAGGATGCTAAGGGCCATACTCTATTAATTGAAAGTAGTTTTGCTGATGCTAATATTCAACTCAAGAAAACTATTGCTTGGAAAGATATTTCTTTACTAAATGAGTGGTTTCTTGAGAATGAAAATCATCCATTAAAAATACAAAATGATATCTGCAGTCTTGATAGAGTCCAGGAATATATTGACGGAACAGTTAGAATAAGCTGTGATGAACAACGCCTTCTAACCCGTTTTCGTCCTTCTACTTCCTCCAGGCTAGATCATGACAAAGATAGTAACTCAATCCCTCCTCTTGAAAGAAAAAATTCAAGACTTAATCCTCAATTCAAAGATCTTAAATTAAAAGGAATTCACATCGAAGAATAAATTAGTCATCCCTGTTATGAGCAGACTCCTCCAGACAAGTCTCAATCTGCACCAACTTCACCTTCCCCTTCAGATTTTATTGGTAACATCAACCCAGTTGATCCTTCATTAAATACCATTAGTAAACCTTTTAAATATAATCTCCCCAAGTTACATGATGAATATTCTTCTCAGCAAAACAAAGAGAAACGAAAATTTTTTCGGAAAAATCATACTGAAAAGGAACAACAAAGAATCCTCCGTCATTGGCAAAAATTTATGACAGAACATCAGCTAGAAATCAAACTTTTTGATTATTTCGAAAACTGTTATAATCAAGTCAATGTGCTCACTAAAGTCAAATGGAAAAAATCAGATAAATCAGTAACTTCTTCCTCCCATCCTCCTCTAGATTCGGTAATTCTAGATCACATGGGAACAGAAATCCCTGCCTCTCCATTAATAGTAACCACCACAGTCACTGATAATGACACACGAAAAATAATTGAACAAAACAATTTTACCAATCAATATTTGCATACAATTGGGATTCAACTTGATAAGATTGAGCTTTCCCTTACTCAGTCTTCTATCCCTCATGTCACTTCCACCTCACTGAAGTCACCAATTATTTCTATGCCTACACAGCGAAAAGGCCTTCCCAAAGCCCTTCCTGATCCTTCTGTCATTCTCTAGATTGAGACTTTTCTCAAAACCATGGAGAAAGGCAAAGCCATTAACGAAGATAAAAAAAACTCACTGTTATCAATAATACTGATGATTCTGATAGTCTTTCTTCTACCTTTAGTTACCCCTCTGATATTCAACAAATTGAACATGTTTTTTTCTAACATAGAAATTAACCGATTAGTCAATAAACTTGTCAACCCAACTAGTCTTACCAAAAATTGATATCCTAGGCCAACACCCCATGATCTTCAATATGAAGAAAGAAATATTCAAAATCAATTTTCTGTATCCTCTGATAAACTCTATGAATGGAATATAGATGGTTTATCAGAACAGAAAATTCTTAATAAACTCAGTCATATTTCCATGGTAGCTAATAACTATGTTACTACACATAATCTTAGTCAACCTGAAATAGTTGATCTTCTTGCTTCGGGATTTTCGAGGATGTTAAAATCTTGGTGGGAAAAACACCTCACTGAAGATTCTCGAACACAGATAAAAAATGCTATTAAAAAATATAATGATGGTCTTCCCATCTTTGATGAAGCCGTAGGCCGTGCTATTCCTGATGGTGTTAATACCCTTGTTTACACCATAGTTGACCATTTCATAGGTACTCTAAGTAACATTACCTCTAGAATACATGATCAACTTACTAATCTTTCTTGTCCAACCATGAGTGATTTTAGGTGGTATAAAGATGTATTCTTGTCCAGAGTTATGCTGAGAGATGATAGTAACAAACCATTTTGGAAAGAAAAATTCATTAATAGTTTACCCAACCTTTTTGCCCATAAGATTCGAGATACTCTTAGTAAAGCCATAGGTAACATTGATTATGATAATCTCACATATGGCAATATCATCAGCCTAATTCAAAAAGAAGGATTAAGGATGTGTATTGACATGAAAATTAGTAATCAGTTACAAGATGATAGGAAAAGAGCTAAATATGAAATGGGAACCTTTTGTGAACAATACGGTCTTCCACCCATAGCTCCATCTAGACAAAATCCC